AATATCGCTCAAATCACCAAAATAGCGAATATCGGGAGGTACTGTTATATGGGGGCTATACGAAGATGTGGACCTGCACAGACAATTTTTTGTCATAAGCTGTAGTAACCACTACGAACTTCAAATACCAACTTTGGAACAATTCCGGTGAATAATGTCTATCTACTTTAATTCTTTCGGAAGCTAGAGTGGTTTCCACAGACGGACAGATGAATAGACGGACGTACATCGCTTAATCGACATAGAATTTTATACTGATCAAGAATATATATACATATAGATACTTTGTGGGGTCTAAAATGTGCTAAAGAGTTGCTTCGCTTGGCCAAAAGTGGTGAACTGCCGAATTTGATTTTTTTTTTTCCGATGAGAAAACATTCGTTGTCCAGCAGTTTGTAACAAACAAAACGATCGTATTTACTTGCCAAAGAGGTCAGCTGAAAATGTGCACCTTCGGTTGGCTACCAGAACTCAAGCGCCGGCCATGGTGATGGTGTGGGCCGCCATAACAGCCGATGGTCGCTCTCCGCTTGTATTATTCGACCGTGTTAATTATATCAGAATTAATGCCGAATATTATTGCGAAAATATTCTGGAGGGTGTAATAAAGCCTTGGGCACGCAAACAATTTAGCAGCAGACCTTGGACATTCCAACAAAACTCAGCACCATCGCACTCAGAATGCTTACAAAATGAGGTTCCTCGCTTCATTTCCAGCGCACAATGGCCACCTAAATCTACGAATACCAATCCGTTGGACTATTGTGTCTGGAGTATTTTGGAAAACAAGGTTGGCTATAAAAAATATTAAAATGTTGAAAATCTCAAGCATGCGCTTCACCGGGAATGGGCCAAAATACCGGGGAGAAACATTCGGGCAGCGTGTGACGGTTTCATTGGCCGTTTGAAGGCCATAATTCCTGCCAAAAGTGACCAATTTGAACAAATCTAAACATATTCTAAAATTTGATGCTATTTCCGACATTTTTTTGCTTTCATTCAATGATATTAAAAAAAATGTATAAATTATGACGTTTGACTTTGTTGCTATTTCTTTATCTCACCCTGTATATGTTTTCTTATACAACGTCAATCGGAGGTTTTTATAATATCCGTTTTTTTCCACAACTTTTACAAATTTGAATAATTTTCAAAATTTCAAATTCAAAATTGGGTTGACAGTTCATTGTCCCAGCAGCTGTGTCGATGCGTCTACCTGTATTCTTCCAGCATGAAATATACAAAGTTATATGCATGTGCGTTCCCTTCATTCTAGTGGCATCTTACAGAGTATATCGAAGAAACCAGCCAATGACAAAGACAATAAAAACAACCTTTTATGTATCTAAACCTTTAATTGTTTCTGCATCTTTAAAATATATATTGATTATTTTTCAATTATAGTTTTATCTATTACCGTGTGGCGTATGTGTTACACTATTTCATACTTGCATATACATCATACGCAAAAATGAATGAGATACCGTGTTTAGTATATAAAAATACAGGCTTCTTTACTAGAGTATTTCGAAAGAACGAAAACCTTTTTTACATAAATTTCTTTCCAAATTTTCCATATTAGCACCTACGCCACCAATATTTAACGTCACAATTCTGGATTTGCCAGAATTAAAACAAAAACTACAAAAAAAAACGAAAACACCAGGTGCTTTTGTTTTTGTAATTTCCATTACAACTAATTTCATTTAACGGGACTACCGTTTCGATGACGTTGGTCTGAAAGCGTGCTGCAAAGCAACCAGCATGCCGTTACTTGTGTAAATGAAAATGCATATATTTGCATTTTCATTATTACACCGGTAAGGGGGTAATTTACGATAACTTCAAACATGTAAACAAGCTACTAATTGTTACTGGAGTGGGTATCTGCTTAAGCACCTGACACCAAGTTGGATGGACGGAGTAATGGTTGGTTGGCTTCAATTTAACTCAATAATTCAATGGCAGATAGGTATTATCTATTATTGATGTGCTCTGCAGGTTTCTTGGCCATTTCAGTTTTTCTTCAACCATCCATACAACGTCGCCATACCTATAGACCTTTGTCATTAGCACTCTGTGACAATTTGTTTATTTTGTTGATATATCAACGGGTGAGTTTAATATTTTAGCAAAACAAAGCACACGCACACAGGAATGGGTAAACAGTTTTAATATAAATCACAAACAATAACACTAAACACACACACACAAACACCTGTGTTCACACACCTCTTTGCCTTAACACTTCAATAGTTGTACCTCATTTCCATGAAGTTCTCTTTTCTTGGTTTGATGCAGAAAATCCCCATTTCTTTTTTTATGGATGGTTAAATTCCTCTTCTTCCTCTCACTCAACATGTCTCTTATTTGTATATCTTCCCTCTTGATACTCTTTCTCTTGAAATTTGTGTTGAGTCTTTCTTTCCCAGAAATAAAAACAAAAACACGCAATTTATAGTTTTTGGCTTTGTCGTCAGTTACTATCATTGTGTACAACAATAACAACAACAAAAGCAACATGAGCAATATCCGTTATCAATCAATTACTCATCGTTGTGTTGTGTTAAAAATCAAATTTCTCCATGCTCACACATCTCTCCTCTCTTCGTCTCTTTATGGGGAATTTAGGTTAGTTTCTTGAGAAGAAAAATAAAAACAGACAGTTGCCAAAATTTACAATTTTTGATCGAAGATAAAAAGTGGGAGAGGAAAAAATTCACAGTTTATAAGCCAATGCAAAAGAGAGAATAACAATCTTTATAAGGAAAATAATCGGAAGTAATAAATACACTGAAGAAAATACTAAAGGGAGTAGAGCTATGGGGAGGTTTTTCAAAAAAAAATGTATAGTTTAGAAAAATACATGATATGCATTGAAATGCATATGAAATGAAGCAAAAATCTTATGATAATCAACCTCGCATTTCTGTGAAAAATCTGGGCCACTAGCTAAACTTTGAAACTGCAAATTTGGCCATTTTCATCATTTGGTTTTAATTTATATTCGGCGGTAATCCTGTGTAAACTCTGGGTGAATTTCTTATTTTATGACTAGATGTCTGCATATTCCACTGTGTTTCGGACGTTTGACAGAGTGTCCTTTCAGCGATTGAGTTATTTATGGATATTGGCATTTCTGAGAGTGTACTGTTCTCCATTGAATTATTGATTCCACATTCATTCAAAAAACTTAAATCTTATTTGCTGATGTAGAAGGTAAGATAAAAAAACTGCAACAAAGTCAAACGCCATAATATTTAATTTTATTGAATGAAAGCAAAAAATGTCGGAAAAAGCATAAAGTTATAAAAAAGGTTTAGATTTGTTCGAATTGGTCACCTTTGGCACGAATTATGGCCTTCAAATGGCCAATGAAATCGTCACACGCTGCCCGAATGTTGCTCTGCGGTATTTTGGCCCATTCCCGGCGAAGCGCTTGCTTGAGGTGATGGACACTTTGGTATTTTTTAGTGCCAAACTTGCTTTCCAAAATACTCCAGACACAATAGTCTAAGGGATTGGTATCCGGAGATTTTGGTGGCCATTTCGGCGCTGGAAATGAAGCGAGGAACCTCATTTTGTAACCATTCTTGGCTGGCGCGTGCTGAGTGCGATTGTGCTGAGTCCTGTTGGAATGTCCAAGGTCTGCGGCCAAAATGTTTGCGTGTCCAAGGCTTTAATACACCCTCCAGAATATTTTCGCGATAATATTCGGCATTTATTCTGATGCCATGGTCGATTAATACGAACGAAGAGCGACCATCGGCTGTTATGGCGGCCAACACCATCAACATAGCCGGTGCTTGAGTACTGGTGGCCTACCGAAGGTACACATTTTCAGCTGACCTCTTTGGCAAGTAAACACGATCATTTTGTTTGTTTACAAACTGCTGGACAACGAATGTTTTCTCATCGGAGAAACCCAAATTCGACCAAGCGACGTAACTCTTTAGCTCTTTGAGTCTATTTTTTTATCTGTTGCGGTGTAAGTTCTTGCACTCTTTTGGAAGTGCAATGGTTATCCCGAGCTCATTTTTCAATATTTGTTGAATGGAATATTGCGATATGTTCAGCTCATTTTTCGGCCACTGCGACGCGGGTTTTGATCAAGTAGCTTCTTTACTTTTCGAACCTTTTGTGCTGATGTTGCTGAATGAATTGAATTTAATTTCTATCATGATTAGGTTGTATTTGTAGGTTATGAGTTTTAGGCTCGCACCAATTTCCTATCTTATTTGATTAAGTATATGGATGTTTATTTTCAAGTTCTTTGAGGGAGGGCATTGGTCAAATTGGCGAAAGTCCTATAGATAAATTTCCCTTAATCAATTAATTTAGAATTACTCTTATTATATTTTCTAGTTAAAAGATTAGATCTCTTTTACAAGGACGCCAATATTCTTCTGAATTCCTGTCAACTACATTTCTTATATTTAAGAAAAGAGCAGAATTTGAAGTTGTGTATTCGCTCTTTGGATTGCAGGTTTATGTTATTACCTACATCATTATTTCCAGTGTATTATAAATTTCTTCGTTGTGTTTTAATACCAACTACAATAAGAAGTTTCCATTAACACATGCTCCCATTTTAACTATTCTATCACACACACTCTCAGTTTCACTTATCTCTCACGCTCTATATCTCTCTCTCTGCGAATTAAAATACAAAAGAACTCTTTGTGTGAGAGTTTGCTGATAATTAAATAACAAAACCGCTGTGTGGCGGCAGTGAATGATAATAACGAAGTTTCGTATTGAGAGCGAATGAGTAGAAGACGAGAAGGAAGCAGCACAAACAAAAAAAAAACCAACAACAAAAATCAAGCCAAACCAGCCAGCCAGCCATTCATCCATACACATGAAAAAGTCTAACAACAACAACAAAACAGCTGACTAGATTGCTAGCATTCGGTCGTTGGTGTCGGTGTTGTCTTTGTTGGTATTGACTTGCTGCTTGACTGTTTTTCTGATGGTGTTAAAGTTAGTTACCCCACATAACAGACGACCAGTCAGAAGTAGTCGCTAGCCAAAAGCGAATGGTGGAAGAAGAAGTTTTTAAGCTGTGCGCGCGCTTAAATCGAATGTTTAGAAGCTGTTTTTTGAGAAATTAATAACGGTTTTCGGTTAAAGAAAATTTAAAAAAATATATTTATTAAACTGTGAAACATTCGTTGTGGTTGTACGAGACAGCAAAGTAAACAGAAGGTCTTCCATTTTTTCAAAGAAAACTGAAAGAAAAAAAATAATATTTTGTGGACTTTTAAAATTTGTGCCTTATTGTAAAGGAAGATTTAACGCTACAAAGAGATTGTTAACAGAAGCCTATGGAATACTGAAGAAATTATTGAAATCTAGTAGCTAACATGTGTTGAAAACAAAATCGCAAAAATCAAACAACGAAATTTTTAATGCCATATCTAGTATTAATAGCAAAAAAAAAATAAAAACAAAACGGCAACTTGGTTTTTATGGAAATTGAAAATATCAGCGTTTAATCGTCCAGTTTGATAATATACGTGTACAAATTGACATTTCTGGCGAATTGTTTGCATATTTCCAATAAGAAACCCAATAAAAACATCACGTTTCAACGTTCATTTGAATTGTTTTGTTTTTTTTTTACAACAAAAACAATAAATAACTAATCGCTTGCAATAATAACAACAATATGAACATTCACATAGTTGTACACAACTTAGACATGCAATGAATTTTGTACAGAAACAAGAATAACCTCCAAACTATACAACGACGATTCGTTGGTGTTTTTATAAACGATACCAGGGAGTACAAAGACTACAAAGACAATAAAAAGGAAATTAAGCATAAAAGAGAAGAGCTGCATTTAGAGACTACAAGACGTAGTAAGAGATTAAGAAAAACTCGTCCATCTCCCTTTGACAGTACCTGAACTCTGCAAAGGTCAGAAATAAAAAGAAGCAACCATTTGTCATTATTATCTTGCAAGCCATTCTTCTACTTCTTAAGTCAGCTTAAGAAGACAAAGACCTTTTGCAAAAAAAAAAAAAGTAAAACCAAGCACGTCCAAACCCAAGCAAACAGAATTGTAAAGGCCAGATCTGTACTAAAAGCAGTAAACAAGAACACCAAAAGGCTTGGGAGTGTACAGTAAAAACTGTTGCCAAGTCCATAAGTCAGTCACATACAAAACAACAACAACTAAAGAAAAGAAGAAAAAACTTATTTGGAGACAGGCACACTTCGTACCAGCAAGCAAGCCAGCCAGCCAGACCAGACCAGACAGAGGAGGCAATACACAATAAAAGCAATAATCAACGCCGCTGTGACGTGCTAAAAATAAACTAACCCTACCCTAACTATTGGCGTTTTGTGTTAAGCTGCTGTTGTTGTTGAGTTTTTTTGAGTTTGCAAAGACAACAACAACAACAAATTCGCTATACAGAACAGCAACAACAGTGTAATCATCATATTACCACACACACTTCATCAACATCATCATGGATTACTTCGTAAAGGCCTATAAAGATTGGAAACTGCATTCACAGGTAAGGGAAACCCACACTAAGATAACTACTACTCCTTCACAGCAAGATATGTATAATTTGTGTTTGTTTGTATATATACGAGGGATCATACACCTCTCCATCTTGCGGTCAAAATCAACAATATTAATATTTATTGTCATAATGGTTTATGTAAATGACTAAAATTACCTTTACCACAGTTACCTACATTTTGTGTGGAATTTTCTCAGAGCATCATCAGGTATTGAGTTCAGTCAGTTTTGAAGAAGGTTTTTTTTGGTACATGATACGGGGGGAATATACAATTTCATTGTAAAAAAATGTGTTTTTTTTGCTAACAGCTGCAATTCTTAAACTGATGACGCATTCAGGTCTTAATCGCACAGGAAAAAACCGAACAAGAAAGAAAGTCTTTATCACGAACCAGTTTTAAGTTTCCCTAAATGCAAGAGTTTGGAATATTTGGAAGTGTTGCAGGCTTCTGGGACAGTTTTCTTAATACAGAAAAAATATTGGAAAAAAATTGTGCGATCTCAGAAAAAGAAAATGGAACATGAAGTTGAGGACGAAAGCGGTAAATGTCCTTTGTGTATTGAAGGTGGACCATATAACTCAGGAGCTTCAGCGATGTGAGAGATCAATCTGTTTTCCCCTTTTCGTTATCAAATTGTTATTGTGTAGATCAGATTTTATATTGTTTGTTGTTCGGAGTTTCATCGTTAGACCTGTTCTTGTTGGTTTAAACGTCATTTCGTCGTCTAATAGTTGATTCATTTTGAACGAGCATTCCTGCTTTTCCGTTACTATCGACTTATTGCCTTTGTCATCTGTTGTTATCATTATATAGTCATGTTTCCTCAGATACTAAATTGTTTGCTCAAAATTCCATTTATGAGTTTGAGTCTATGGTTTGCGATTCTTGGCTCTTATTATGTACTTCTGTATTTCGTCCTTAATTGTTTGAACCCATTGTTCCATGTCAGCTACGAGACATATGTTTTTTAGGAGTTTCCTTGTAATTGACAGAGCAATTGTTTTATCCATTGAAAGAATCCACTTCTGTTCTGTAGTAAATTGAACATTTGTGCAGTTTAAGAACCAGTTTTCATTGAATTTATATACAAGCTTTTTGCATTTTTCTTTTTTGAGATTGTCATTTTTGCTTTCGTTATCATCAGTCAATTTGAGAATCGGAGATATTTACAATAATTTTTTTAAAAAAGGAAACAGAAACGAAAATCTTTTAATCACAGATTTTCATAGTGTGTTACATCGCCTATGTTTTGTGCCAGTTTTCTGGGGTTGTCGAGTCCCAAATATTGTGGGATCCTTTCCAAGCTTTCTTTTTATAATAACCCATTGGATTAAGGTCTGGAGTAGAAGATAATCAATCCAGAACCGTGATTTCAATTTCTTCAAGCTCTCTTGTTCTCTTGTACCTTTCATGCCTCGTTTCTTTTACGTATTATTCTGGCGTCTCCAACACATAATTCAAACATCGATCATTCGCTTAAGATAATGCCGTTGTGCCCCAGGGCTTATCTCATTAGTCCATAATAGGTGTGGTCCATATATATCGTGATAGGCAATGTCTTTTCCTTGACCTAAAGAATTTGGCGAATTATCAAGTTGACTTAGAACTAACGGATTCGCAGACCTGGCGGTCGGCTGGAACACAATTGAGCGTTCGGAGACAATTATCAAAAAATTGTTGATCCGTTTCGTAATTGTTCCTTTTTTCTGTATTTTGTCCGACTTGTCTGCTTAATTTCTTTTTACTTTTGTCGTAGAAAAGCGGCTCACAATATTCACTAAATTTTATACATAATCAAGATACATAAAAAGTAGCATTTAAAACTTGAAAAACCCTCTATATATGGCTGCACATCCATTGCTACTTTTTCAATACACCAATTTATTCGGCGTTTAATTTATGAGCACGGTTGTCTTACAAAAAATTGTGCCTTTTAATGTTAGTTAAATGTAGGAATTTTTGTTTGTCATCATCTGCTTCGCCGATCATGTTGATGGTCGGATTTCTATACATATATTGGCACAACTCTTAAAGGTTTACTTGTAAATATAATTCGTGACTTGTTCCCATTCAACATCTTTTAATTACATTCAATTTGATTTCATGTGTTGAAAATGTGCCATCAAGTGATCGGTTGTAAAGTATGCTGAATGATATGAGAAATTAAAAATTGGGATACCTGCGGTGGCCTAAGGGTGAATACGGAGAAATTGAAGTCACCCAATAAACCTGTTGATTGAAGCATCTGGATTATAAAGTTGACTCATTTTTCAGCAATAACCAATTCAGTCCAAATCAGACGAGAAATGAGATCAGATTAGTCTAAGAGTCTTTTGACTACTTTAAAAAATTATAACATTGCAGCGCATTTAATTGTTACACACTTTTTTTTGTAGAATTGTTCCCAATTTTACTTGGCCATAATATATGTTCTATTTGTTTCTCATGCTTGTGATGTTTATCAAAGTTATATTTACACATTCGAATCCAACGGGCCCTCGATAACACCTGTTGATCTCTGGTCGAATTTGTTTATAATTCCTGTCGCATGTTTGAAATGTTTATGGCATTATGAATATCATTTCGCAAGATTATGATTATATGTTCCACACTTGGCATCATAAAACAATTGTTATCGTTTAGTTAGCTGGAATTTTGAAGTATTACCACCTAGACATTATACCGGGCATTAGGTACAACTAACCTATATTTGAATGAATAACAAATAAATAATTAAAACAATTATAAAAACGTCGTTTTTCAACCATAAAACTATTAAGTAATTGTGAATTGTGTTATGATTTTACGAGAATTATAAAACAAAACACACACACACACTCAAGTGGACAAACAAACATTCCAAGTTGTTGTGTTTTTTCCCACATTAATATTCATATCCGTTTTAAAATATTCACTTGGTGCTGATATCGATAATTAAATCCGGTTTCTGGTTTAAGTTTTATAGGTTCCCTTTGAGTTTTTTTTGCATTTTTCAGGTGGGTGACCCAGCATCACTTCATCATCGTCATCTGTCTGTTGATCTCATATGTCAAATGGTTTCCCCCCATGGGGTTTTTGTGAATGTATGTGTGGTGTGTGGGGTTAGCACAATTCTTAATGACAGCTGTCCAAATAGATACCCGTAGCTTGGGGTTTCTTTGTTACCTTTGTTTCCATCTTACCAATTCCACTCCATTAACCAGATGGCCACGAAGTTCTGTTCATTTCACGTTTGAATAACCTATCTATGTACTACCAATTGCTATTGTTCTTATTATTCTCAAATTGTGCTGTAATTATTGCTGTATTGACAACAGGCAACTCAACTTTCCTTAATTCAGCAGCACCCGTTGCCAATGATGAAAGTAAATTGATTTTGAAATAAAACAAGACAATGTGAAACAAGAACAGCATTTTTTTTGTCCGGTTTTGGTTTTCTGTTTTTTTTTTTTTTTTTATTAATTCTCTTTCCTACTCTCTTGCTCTCACATCTCTGCCAAACGGTAATCCCTCGAAATTACACTCAAAGAAAAAAAAGCTTGTCAGACCACTAGATGTGTCACGATCTCAGTGAATGGATTGATGACGTCGATTGAATATATCAGCGTGGTTTGTTATTAAAAACAAACAACACTAAAATAACTGTCAATCTATGGTTGGTTATCTTCAGTCATGACACATAGCAACACGGTGTGAAATATTTTGCTTAATAAAATGGTCGGAAGTAGGTGCTTTTTAATAGGAATATTAAATGGGGGATTTTCTGCACGTTAATGACCTACGACAAGTTTCCTGTGAAGACAGTTCGCAAACATTTGCACAAAATTAGTATTGTCATGTCATGAAATAATTAAGTGTGAACCATAAATCAACGAACTACACCAAAAATTTATATTTAACTATAAATTCATTGACAAATGCCCAGAATCAAAAAAAGGCGCTTGAAATAATATATCTATGAATAAAATGCATGACAATTGAACTAAAAGCTATGAAATTTATTGAATAACTTATCAGGAAAATTCAAATTGAAAGCAAGCTAAGAACTATACACGGTGAAATGAAAAAAAAAAAAACTGCAATCAACTTCAGCCTGTTGTCATTTCTAAGGCATTCCCCCGACAGCTGTTAAAATTATTCCAGTGATAGCTCATTATATGGTTTACAAGCGTACAAAAGCATTTTGGTGAGAATATTTCAGAAAGACAATTATTCGTGATGAAATTCAAGCGTGATTTCTTTATTTTTGGCTGGAAAACCACAAGTGGCTATCGTTAGAGCACTACAGCATTTAAGCGTGAATAAATCTTTTGTGTCTCGTACCATTGCTCGTTACCGTGATACAGGTAGCCTAGGTCTACATCAAGGAAGTGGACGGAAGAAAACAGCAACATCAGCAGAAATGGTTCGAAAAGTAAGGAAGTGACTTGATCGAAACCCGCGTCGCAGTGGCCGAAAAATGGCTCGTGAGTTGAACATATCGCAATATTCCATTCGGCAAATATTGAAAAATGAGCTCGGGTAAAGCCATTGCAATTCAAAAAAATCCAAGAACTTACACCGCAACAGAAAGAAAATATACCCAAAGAGCTAAAGGGTTGTTTCGCTTGGCCGAAAGTGGTAAACTACCGAATTTATTTTTGTATGCATGTATGTCAGAACCATACTCGAATTCTGCCATCGTTTTCACCTATAATTTGGTATAAGTATGTCATGTCATGATGTCAAGCTGCCCATGTATCATCACCTTAAAGAATAAATAAATCTTTGTCTTTATAAAGAGGACGGTTCTATATATATTCTAGATATGGATGCCATTTCAAAAAGGCCTTTGGATAATCAATCTGCGTAATACCTTAACGGCCTCCTATTTATAGAATTCTTTCTAAAATGCCATATTTCACCATTAAATTCTTATCAACAAATAAAGAAAAACTCCACGAAATGGAACATTCCATAAAACCGATTGGTCTATTAATAAAATAAT